AAACATATATCAATTGTCAACGTGCATGTTGTAGGTACATATAATGGAATGTGACCATTGAATATTACGATTGATAATGCAGGTAAATGTTTTGTCAGTTTAAAAACGTAGCATGACGCTGTTTTAGGTCATTGAAAATGATATATAGAAGTATCACAGATAAGCCTTTTACAAACAATACTACTGAAATTTAACAAATATTTCATACCTCGCGGAATTGCTGTATACGATGCACGAAAACCGTCGTTTTGACCACTTGGATTCAATATGAGACTGTTGCTTCTGAACGTGGCTGAACTTTCACCATTGATCCTCTCATGTTTAAAGTCAATGTAACGTAAATGAAATTACCGTCTAATGATATGGCCAAAATACAAAAACATATGAGTAATACTATGTTAACCTTTTTCCATCCGAAAAGTATAACAAATTTAGAATATTTCTTACTTTGTATATACCATTCTTACAGTATCATCTTGAGATGACAATTACTTCCTTTTTAATAAGCAAATTAAACAATGGGACTTCGGAAAGCCTATTTCCATTTTTATAACGGCGAAAATTAACATTTTAGAAAAATGACAAAAGTAATCGATTTTAAGGTCATATGTTTTTTTTTTAACCAGTGACTGTGTAAAATCATAGAGCCTGGCTGAAACGTCTACCAGTTTGACACTTTTAGGTTTTATTCTATCACCACCATATCTCATGCAAACGGTTTATTTTCGGTCTTGTGTGATCTGTTTTAAATCATATTCATATGACGATATGGTCACTTTACATGTAGTGAATTTGTAATTTTTGATATGTTACTTTTGTATGTTATGTTTTCATTATAATTTCAATCCTGACAATGTTATCCTACATTGTATGAGAGGAAGGATAACTGCGACTTTTTTACATTCACATTAAATTCTCACTGAACTTTTAAGTATAATGTACATAATCATGTTGATGTTGATGTTAACGTATTTACAAAACAAAATGTTGTTATGAACGTTTCAAACGATACTTTATAGTTTTGTTTATTCTCATTTCGAATGCAATCTTATTTTTTATGTGTAATATATCTATATAAAAATAAGAAGATGTTATATGATTGTCAATGAGATAATTTCAATCAGAAACCAAATGACGTATAAATTAACTAATATAGATCACCGTACGCCCTTCAACAAAGAGCAAAACCCATACCACATAGGACGGGTTTAATGGTCCCCAAACGACAAAAGTAAAACAATTCAAACGAGAAAACTAATTGCCTGATTTATATAGAAAACAATACACGTAATACAGTATATAACAACAAACAACAACCACTGAACTACAGGCTCCTGACTTGGGGCATACTAAATGTGTCGGGGTTAAATATGTTTGCTTGCACCAGACCCTCTCCCTAACCAGAGACACTGGTTTAACAGAACAATCAATTAACAAGCCATACACATCAGTTGAAATGGGCTTATCACATTAGTTAAAAAAAAACAACTAAGAAAGCACACATATGAGAGTACTCGCAGTAACTAAAAGCTAGTAATTTTAATGAAATAAGCAAATATTTTATCTAGAAAGCAAATATTTTGTGACATTTATTTACATATAAAGATAGCGTTTTGATACATAAAAAATAAACTTTACTTTATACGGAGATATAAGTCAGATGATTTAATTTAACGGTGGCATATAAATGGTATTTTGTCAAACAGCAATAAATCAAGTACGGTTACCCCATTCTGTCATTTTATTTTCCTCAATTTATTAGAGATACACGCATTTTCTCATTTTCTGTTATAACCTATATCATTATATTTTTTTTTCTCGTATAATTCTGTTACCATGTATTCTACACAACTTGACGCTTCAAAAGTATTAGAATTAATTGTATATAATATTATTTTAATAATTGCGAAATAATTTTCTATTTCAAAAGTATGAATAATCTTTCTTTTTTTTTAATGCGACTGTATCTTATACTACTTTAAAGCATAACAATAAACCAGACAATTAGAATGGAAGTATATTAAAATCCAGTACTCCGAAAGGGAAAACATATCCCCTATAAAAGAATCATAGTAGCTGGTGTTTTTTTTTAACTGCCTACAGCATATTTTGTCTTACATATTCATAGAAAGTATGTATCTATGTGTAACAAAAACCAAACCACACCTGAACATTTTTATGATTTGTGGGTTTTTAACGACGAATTTACCAACTTTGTTCAGACAATTTTAATATCAGTTGTAATGCGTCATTGGTTAACTAAATGTCATTAAAATGAAACATCGTATTTTAGTCAATTCAACATGTATGTTCTAGATTCTCGTATTTTGCTCAGGTATGTTTGCTAACAATATACAGTAAATTGTGTTATAACGTACACATCAGTATTGACAAGTAATATTTCATTTTTAATACTGATATGATTTGGGAATAACTACGATTTCCTGGCTAACGAGTTCAGAGCCTTACATGCATGCAAATACTCATACCATATCTCTGT